AACAAGCACACAGCCAGTGAGGAAGGATAGCCGGTCTTTAACGTAGCTTCTGTAAAAGTGTGTACATTAAAGGCATAAAATAGTATTATTTGTTGTATAATTTGTACGTTTTATGCCCCTTATTAGGATAGATGAGAAAGCCTGGACAGTCCGTGTGGGTACCAGCTGTTAGTGATGCTGTTGAGATGGGCATACATCCTTGGATAAGTGCCTTCAGTACTTGCCCTCCAGGATACGTACGTTCTTTTTTCGAGAGTTGTCAAGTTGTCTTTCTCCGTTTTCTCTTCAAATAGTTGAAAATTACAGCTGTTGGTAGCGGTACGTAATTCGGACGATAGTGATGCTTTTCGTGAACGAGTGGTGCAGCTTCTCGATGAATTCTCGGTCACTGGTGTAAATGGCACACATATCTGCATGGTTTTCGAGGTTTGTTCTTGTTCTTAAGAATTTCTATTAGCTGGTTTTTTGACGAGTCTCTTAGACCTTCTTTCATTTTCATTAATTATTAGTTTAGATATCACCGCATTGTATCTGACTGTGATGCTTAATTTGTTGGTAGAATCAACAAAACGATTATAACGAAACGATACCAAATAATTTTGCTAGTTATCGTATCAGTGACCTTGAAATTTAGCTCACGAAATTACCCTTTCATCCTTATAAATAATACAGAAAAGGATATACTTTGACAGGCTCGAACAAACCAAGAGAAATCTGGCCCCACTTTTTGCCTCTGTTAATTGAGTTCACCACTTTTCCCCTTTTCCATCAACCTTGTGGCAGTGATAAAGTGGTACTTTAGTTATTAAGCAAAAGGCGAACAAACGGAAGAAGAAGTTCGCAGAATGTGTAAAGTAATGTGGAAAGAATTGCAATAAATTTGAACTGGAATGTTTCGGTTCATTAAGTCGAACAACCATCTCTTCGCATTTTTTGGCCATCCCATCAATTAATGTTTTTTTGCGATGTGATATTTAATCAGATGTTTGTGTCGACGCGAAATGAAAATAGCCGCGTTTAACGATAATGATTTCTGATTTATCTGTTTTTCTTTCATTTTGCATGAAAGTTGAGTTATCGCAAAAATTGCGGTTTCACCGTTTTAAATTTGTATTATGGGTATTCTAGGAAACTCCTGTCTTTGTTTTGGCACTCGATCCCTGATTTTTTTCGTCAGAAATTTTAATTCAGCTAAATCATTCAAAACTTTGGGGTGAGGCGTCCAGCCTTAACTTATATGGAGCTACGTTTGCCCTGAAATATTAGCCATCTGCGAGCATCTCACATTTCTTTAAGACATAGAATGAATTCACGAAAGCAGTAGAGCACGTACTTGCAGTGCTTAGGTTATATTATTAAATTTTTAGAAAAGTGTTGGCGGAAGTTTTAGGATCGAGCCAAGTACAGAATCTTATGATGTTGCAGAACAGTGCGAATGAAGTGTTGTTTGTTTTAGGTTCTTGGATGTAATCTGCTGAAACTGATCATCCGAAGCAACTATCAGGGCTTGCCACTGGAACAGGTGCGCACCATTACCAGGCAGGTGCTCGAAGGATTGCAGTATCTCCATGAGAAGTGCCACATCATTCACACCGATATTAAGCCCGAGAATGTTCTTGTCACTTTGACGCACGATCAAGTCCGCCGGGTCAGTCTGCACGTTTTGATTTCGATCACTCAATGTGAGAATCCTAAAATACAAAATTTTGTTGATTTTTTTAAAAGTGGAATGGTTTTTTCTCATTTAACATTATTTTGTATCTGTAGATTTCCAGTGTTCAATCTTTCAGATCGCTGCTGAAGCAATTTTATCGGGTAAAATGGGTTTCAAGTTATCAGGCAGCGCTGTGAGCACCGCACCGCAACATATGGTTAAAAAGGTATGCCTCTTTATTGTGCTTAGACGTTTGTTATTCATTTAATCAATCATTCAAGGGATTTTGCTCAGTTACTTTGTCCTAATCAGTCAGTTAATTAGTCACAGCTTATTTAATCACTCTAGTGAGTCCCTGATAAATTTATATGTGATCATATGGTTCTGCTTATAGTTGAGCTGTTTTTTTGTCATAATTGTTATCAGCCGGCCGGTTTGGTTTATTGATAAGTAGCCTAATTGGTTCCATCTTACCGGTAAAAAGATTAATCTCCATGTGTTTTTTTGGTTGATTTCTCTGAAGAAATTTTTTTTGCTTGTTACTTACCCTGCTAACAGCTGCCGGATATCATGTAACAGAATGTGGTGCCTTTTAAAAAGAACTAAGACTCAATCTGTACTCCAAGAATTGATACCCGTACACTGTGCTTACTGCATATATGCTTCTAGGGTCTGTAATGGTTGCGCCATCGTGTCTGACGTAGGTGCGCGCCATTAAATTTCGAATTCTAACATCAGTTTTCGGGTGACTTTGATAATCTTGGCAATATGGTGGTGCCAGTTGGGATGCATTTTAGTAGAATTTTACTTAGGTACCGTGCTGCACTTTCTTAGAGCTTACACTTGTATGCTTTTTTTTTTATTTCTTCTCACGAATTGGTTATCGGAACTAAAAAATTGCATACAAGGTTGCACACTGTAACTTTGGGCAGCTTCGCTGCCTTGAAAAATGTGTTAATCTCTTATATTAACCATCGTTTCAGTTAAGGAAGTGAATTTTTCTTTTGCTTTTTTTTGACAAATCTGAAGGGGTTTTTTTTTTTTTTAAATGTGGCTGATAGTACAAGTTATGTGTGTTACAGGTTGAAGAAGCAATGTCAAAAAATAAGAAGAAAAA